GATTAAGGATCCAAAGCCGGCCTGAAAACCCCTGTGATGGGAGAATGATCAGATGGTAAGTAGAATCATAAGCCTGATGGCAGTGACAGTATATCTTCTGGTGACTTCCTCGGGGAAGAAGGGCATGCTAACCCCATTATTAGGTTCTGGGTGCATCAGGTGTCTAGTTAGCCCCAATGTAGTTGAGAGTCTTGGAATGCATCTCTGGGAGTTCAAAACCTCAATAGCATTCACAAAATTAGATACCTCATTAGCTGGGGGAGGCCCTGCAGTCTTCGTAACAGTCTCTGGAAATGAGAATTGGACCCCGCATGGAAACAGTTAGCTTTATTGTGAACCCCTGGCATGAACCATTCTATCATACTGGATCTTGCTTGGGTAGAGAAGTGTAATCTCTCAGTGCATTGGAAGAAAAAAAGTCTTTAAAATCTTGGAGAAATTCCAATGTTAAAGCCGCAATGACAATGCAAACTCGCACCCTCATTAAAAAAATGAAATAAATTCTTGTGCTGCCAGCCCACAAGCAAGGCAATGCAGTTGGCCTCATTTCAAAGAAATTCTGGGAGCTGGAAGAAGTATCTAATGAGAGGGAATCAGATGGCTTCACACCCACATCGCCCCACAGACAATGCCATTGAAGTTCTACCTGGGACCAAGCTGTCAAAACCCAAACTGTACTTGATAATACCGAGACAACTAGAAGAACTGAGGCTTTATTAATAAAAACCTGGCCAGCCAGCAAAATTGTGTATCCCATTTTATTTTGTGAAAAGATAGATGGCTACCTAAGATTATGAATAAATTACTGAAGACCGTGCTATCTGCATGGAGAATGTATATCTCCTGCCCTTAATGAAAGATATGCATAAGCCATCTGGCTAAAATAAAAAATTTTTAGAAAGCTGGACTTGAGGGAAGCTTCTTACTGGATATGGATAATAAAAGGGGATGAGTGGAAGATCATTTTCAATTCTGGGTCTGTTTGGTCTGCAAGGGGCACCTGCAGTGTTCATTCAATCAGTGAATCTACTCCCACAAAGGAGTAGAAATGGACCTCAAAAAAGTGGGCTGTACTTGAATGGGAAATGACCTGCATCAGGAAGCAGCTGTAGATCTTCCTAGGCTTTGCCAACTTCTCTTTACATTTACATTTTCAACATTCATTTGAAATACCTTTCTGTGTTGTGGCCCTGATTCCCGAGCCTATGCTGTCAGAGGAAGAGGACCTGGAAGATGAGGAGGAGGAACTGGGAATGCCTTCCTCCCCAGGACCTTCCTCTCTGACAATGCCTCCCTCCCCAGGACCTTTCTCCCTGATAATGCCTCCTCAGGTTCCATCAGACAACTGAGAGGAACAGCCTGAGATTAATCAGGAGGAAGGCATATCGGAGCAGCCCCTGACGGAGTAAAGAGAAAGAGTGTTGGCTCGATCCTAAGCAGCGTCGTAGGGAGAAACGTGAGCAGCAACGTAGGAGGCGTGGGAGGATCAGAGAGTGAGTTGAGTCATTGAGCCACACCCCACAGGGGATAAAAGTGGGTGTGTTTTCTCCTGAAACTTTGTACAGGACAAAGTTTAACCTTACTTCAGATTTTCTTTATGGACTGCCTTGTGATTTTCTGTGAGTAAAATTTTATTTACTGTCAGTTCGGACTTGGCAGGCAGGATGTGTTGGAATGCCAAGAATATTCTCAGTTCCAAAGAATTAATTCTGTGAAGTCTGAGCCAGCTTGCCTGCCTGTGTTTGTGTGAGTTTGTACTCTTTCATCTTTTGGGAAAGAGGAAAGGCGAGACAGAACATATATTATATACTATATTTTTGATAACTTGTCTGGAGTTAAATACCAATGACACATCATTGTATAGAAATTTTCTTTTAAAGTGTAGTTTAAAGTAAATGTTAAACCTTTCTTCCACGTTCTCTCATTGTTCCAGCATTACATTACAGTGGAACCTCAGGTTGTGATCGTAATCTGTTCCAGGACTACACTCGCAACCTGATTTGGTCGTGACTGGAAGCATGACTGACTGTGCATGCATGGATGGACTGCACATGCATGGAAGGAGAAATCGCCACAGCCGGGTTTGTTCATCACCTGATTTTTGAATCATGACCCAATTCAAAAATCAGGTGAGTATTTTGGTTGGAACCCGATTTGGTCGCGAACAGGAGCGTTCACGACCCCGAGGTTTCACTGTACATCCAAAGTTCCTTGCCCATTGACTCATACAATGCTTTACATGTTCATTTTCCAAATTTAAGATCAATCATGTTTTATAGACCTTAGTGACAATATATTCATCACTACCACACAATAAGATTTCTAATTTATTTTCCAGAAAGTCTAACCCATAACTCTTTTTGTCTAATTTGAATCTTTCTTTCAATTGTGGATATGTGGCAAAGATGTCCTTTTCTTAGCTCCTCCTTAGACTTGAGGTTAGGATCACCAAATAAAAAGATATTATTTTACCAGTCCGGCTTCATCACCATTTCTTTCCTAAGTAAGCTTCCTGTGGGAAAAGCCAGAGGTATCTTCATGAAAAACATTGTTTTATATTTATTCCAAACTCTTAGAATGGCACATCTAACAAAGTGGTTGTTGAAATCAACATTTACTTCTTTCTGCAGCAAAAAGTTTGTAATCCTTATTTAATAATGAGATTTGCCTATAATTTTTTATTATCCTAACATCTTGACTTTTGCTTGGTAATATCAAGATATTAGCTTCTTTTCAAGTTGGGGGTAACTTTCTCCCCTGTAATATATGATTCATTATGGACTTCCGGTGGTAAGGCAAGGATGAACAGAGGTGCAGAAGCCCGTCCGTGGTTTCAGTTAATCTCTTTTTGCGGTTGGTGCAATCCTTTGAGGGTGTACGAGTCCTGGAGAGATTCGTGCCGGTGTGGGGGGAGACTCGGGCTGCAGTGTGGGGAAAGTAACCCCCGTGCAGCGAAGAGGAGTCCTCCAGAGCCCAACAAGCAAGAAACAGCTGCCTATCAATGGTGGCTCCAAAGTCCGGACTGCCACCGATGTAAAGAAGCGAGTGAGTGACAGTTTGTGGGATCAATGGTGAAGAGGGTGGCAGAGAAAATTAGCGGTGGAGAGGATGATTGGAATGCTATAGACTTTTATAAGGCTGTTACAATTGTCTGTCCGGAGCCCTAAAAGGAAGCGGCCAAAAAGCAGATGAAAGTGAAGGGGCTTGGCAGACAGAGGAAAGATAGAGGACAATAATGAGTAAAAAGGGAAGTTTACGAGGTCAGGAGATATACCACACCAATATTAACAGAAGGGAATCTAGCGGCTGGAAGGTGACGAAGTTGTGGAGGATTTGGACTATTTCATTCGATTTTTATGCTGAAAGACTATTAAATCGGAGACGGGAAACAGATCGGAGCTGACGGAATAGACACAGTGCGGAGCCACAGGCGATACTTAGAAATCCTGAAGTTATCGTTACAATATAACCGATGTAAACCATTTAACTGCCCTTCAGGGAGTATACTGATCTAACTGGGGAGGTGGTTCCATCTGAAGAAAATAAGGAAAATTGAACTTAGGAACACTAAGACGAAAATTAAAAGTGGAAGCTTCTGAATGTGTGGAGATACTGTGTAATTGCAGTCACTACTCAGCATTTCTTACCTCCCCACTTCCAGTGCGTTTGGAGTGTAAGTTCTTAAACTTAGAGATGGAAAGCTAAAAATTTACTTTAAAATTCCTTTTTCCCCTTCTTTACTCCCTTTTTCCTGTATACATTTGCTCATTTTTTCTTTATTCCCCCACCATCCGGCGCTATGATGAACGATCTCTCCTTCTTCAATCTCTCTTTATAATGATTATAAATATAAATATAAATAAACTGGGGAAAGGAAAATTGATTGTTGTAATTGATTGTTAAGTAATTGAATTAACTGATTTAATTCATTTATTAATGATAGTGATAGTTATACTTCGATTAGATATATAGGGAAAATAGTAAGAACATTAAGTGTTATTTAGTTAATAACTATAGGATTTTATATATTAATATTATAATTCATTGTGCAATCACAATTAATCCACTTGGGGATGAATGTAATACTGTTTGTGTTTAAGAATATTTAAAATACGGTTAGATAATACATATATTTATTTATAATATTTAAAGTTTTTAATGATGTCTTATTGGCAGCCAGGATGCTGGATTCATGGAGGGGGCCATTGATTTCGCTGATCCCAAAAGAGGATTCAGATCCCCGATATATACAAAATTATAGGCTGATTTCATTGTTAAATACTGATTACAAAATATTTACTTCTATTATAGCAAGTAGACTAAAAAGAATGTTAAATGAGCATATACATGAAGACCAAAATGGATTTTTCCAGACTATAAAATCTGCAGCTTGTGATAGAGGTGCTCTCCCCCCCCTCCAAAAAAAAAAGACTATAGAACGTTAGAAGTGGAAAAACAAGGTCAAATAAAAAAACACTTCAGGGGTGTCAAACTCAATTTTATTGAGGGCCGCTTCAGGATTGTGTTCGACCTCAGGCTGGGGTGGTAGTGGCCAGGGTGGGCATGGCCACCTCAACATCACTCATGTTGGGGGTGCCTGTGGTGGCCTGAGCACTCTGCCAGTGAAAACAGCTTGGGATGGCCATGTGCAGCTCTCCTAAGCTCTGTTTTTACTGGCAGAAGCTTGCAGGAGGCTGTCATAACTGAAAATGTGCTTTTGCTGGAGGAGGCACCATGGGCTGGTGCTTTGTTTCCAGGGTGGTTCCACAGGCCAGATCTAAGCACCCCGCAGGCCAGCCCTGACCCCCTGACCTTGAGTTTGACACCCCTGCTCTATGCAATCCAGGAATGTACCCCTTGAATCAGTAAGAAATATCAAGAAAAAAAATCCATATAAATACTGAATACTTTTCCCTGCATTGATAACTACTCTTTATCTTTGTAACATTTATTTTAATTTAAGAGTAAATACCTGAATTATATGCTTTGTATATTTTTAGAAACACAGGCAATAGAAAGGAGGAAAAAAGAGTTGAAAAACAATTATTTTGTCTATGTTGATGGTCTGAATTCTTCAGTATCAGAAGTAAGTTAAGATTAGAATATGTTTGTTTCACTTGATGCTACAGTGAAAGTACATCTATCTTCTTGATTATTTCAGGTTGATCTTTGGATTCATTTCCAGAAGTATAATGTTTCTGAGGTTTTGGTTTGTGATTATTCTGAAAATTACAGGTATGTATGTTGTACTCTCACGTCTGTGGCTGCTTACTGTTGGGATGTCTGAACCAAACATTTAGGGATATACATTATATACATTACGAATTTCCATGTTTTAGAAATGAGTTAGTAACTTATTAAAATAGTAAATTCTGACATTGTCTTTACTCCTACCAATAGTACTATATTTGTTGGTAGTTTATGGCAGGAAGTATATCCTTTAATCAATTCGTTAGAAATGTATACACTGTACAATTATTAGGCAAGTTGTATTTTGGACAATTAATTTTATTATTTAACAACTACAGTGTGCTTGGTCAATCCAAAATGTTAATAAACCTCAAACTTGAATATTTAAGAAAGTAAAAATGAGGTTTTGGCTTTCTTAGGAGAATATCTATCTGTGCACAATTATTGGAAAACTTATTAGTATACAGAATTATTAGGCAACTATATGAAAAATGAAAAATTGCCCATCTCATTTATTTGCATCTGTTAAAGTGAGAATAATTAAACAACTCAAATATTTCTGACATTTCAAAATGTAACCAATATAGCCACCCTACTTTTCAATAAGCTTCCATTCATGGGGTCTGTTAGTTTCTTGATCTTTTGATGATCAACTTTTTGTGCAGCAACAACCACAGTCTCCCAGACACTGTTCAAAGTGGCGTATAGGTAATCCTCCAGGTTCAAAAGTTCAATTTAGTGCATTTTTCACAAGAATGAATTTATTTACAGAGGATACTTATGTTAGAAATACAAAACTGTGACCAAAAAGAGGCTACTTGGTGCTAGAATTGAGTTCTAGAATTGTTTCTGAAAGTATTTTAAAAAATTCTTTTTTGTTATTCTATAGTACTGTACTGTTCGTTTGTATGCACTTTGGGAACTGTTCTGCTTTTTAACTACTATAGTTTGCGAACTATTGTATTTGTAAATACAGTACTTTGCAAAGATAAAGTTTGTTTGCATTTGCCTTGAAGCTGCTTGTAGAAAAGCTAGCCAGCATCTATACAAAGCATTCTATATTATTGTGTTTCTTTGCTTTTATTTTGGAAATTAGTGTATATTGCTGTAGTTTGTAGGTTTTAAATTTAAATTCCCTCCAGAAGTTGTGGGTGCCCCATCACTGGAAGCTTTTAAGAAGAGACTGGTTAGACATTTATCAGAAATACTCTTTCATGAGAGCAGTGGGTTAGACTAGATGACCTCAAGGTCCCTTCCATCTCTGTTACTGTTGCAAGCTGTTCTGTAAATCCCTCCCCCATCTTTCTCTGGGTATCTGCTTGGGGAGGCTTAAGCTAATTAGTAACAAGTTTTTTTTTAATTAACAGCAATCTGAGAGTTGTAAATTACCGTTCCCCCAGCCCTGTCTTGTCCTGCCTACAGGTGCTTTGGTAAATAAGTTGACCCCTCTTTGTGGCAGCTTCTCAAATACTGGAGTAGTAAAAAAAAGCCTCCCACAATCAGCTGAGAAGAGAAAGAAAAGAAATGTGCAGGATTGGCCCTCCCACTCGCCCTTCACTTTTCTTTATCCTCTCAGCTGATTGGTGCTGCAAGCCTCAGCTGGTGTGTGGAAAGCTGTGCACGCGCATTAGGTGCACACATGCAAGCACACGATTACTGAACCAGTAGTGGAACAGGTAGGGTTCCACTGGTGTATCATTCCCCCCACCCCATCCTTCTTTTTACTAGATTAGCCAAACCCAAATCCTACAACCATTCTTCATATATTTGTCTCCAAGCCTTTAATCATCTTAGTTGCTCTTCTTTGTACTTTTTCCAAAGTTTCAACATCTTTTTTTTAATGTGACTAAAACTGCAGTATTCCAGCTGGATGCAGTATTCCGGGTCTTATTAAGGCTGATGAACCCAACGAAACTAGCAAGTTAAGACAAACAGATCTCTTTAAGCATAACTTTATTGAGCACATTATTTCCGCATGCAAAAGCAATACTAGCTAGTTCCCACAATATTCGTCTAATTACAGAATGAATTATTTCCTCCCTTCCTTCAGCCAGGTCACATTGTCCAGTTAGATTCTCTGGTGTCTCTATGGCAACTGCTTCAAACCATTGCCAAACATCTGTTGAGATGACCTTGGTTCCAACAGGACGATTTCGTTTGGTCATCTGGGGCTAGTCTGTGGCAAGCTGAGAAATGAAAACATGGCTGCGACAGCATGGGCACCTTTTGAAGTTGAAAAAGGCTTTATAAAGTGGTACTAATACTTCACGTGATTTTGATTCTATGCCTCTGTTTATATTGTATTAGCTGTTTTGGCTGCTGCTGCACACTGCTGACTGATGTTTAAGTGATCGTATACTAGGACTCCAAGTTCCCTCTCACAGTTGCTGTTTTTGAGCCAGGGTTTGCCTAATCTGTACTTGTACTTTTGACTTTTCCTGCCCAGGTGTAAAACCTTGCTTTTCTTCACATTAAATTTCTCTTTGTTGGATCGGGCCCATTGTTCAAGTCTGCCAATATGTTTTTGGATCCAAGCTTGTTTTCTGGAGTGTTGGCCAGCTTGGTGACAACAGCAAATTTGATGAGTTCTCTTTCTATCCCCTTAAGTCATTTATGAAGATACTGAAGAGTGCTGGACCCAAGATGGAACCTTATGGTACCCCACTGCTAATTTCCCCTCCATGAAGATGTAGTACCATTAAGAACTACTTGTTGAGCAGTTACAAATCCAGCTGGTGGTGGTGCTGTGTATCCCACATTTCTCTAGCTTACCAAGAAGTAGGTTGTAGTCTATTTTGTCAAATGCTTTGCTGAAGTCTAAGCATACTACGTCCACAGCATTTCACTGGTCTACTAATTTAGTTACTTTGTCAAAGAATGAAATAAGGTTGGTTTGGTATGATCTCTTTTTAACAAACCACGCTGGCTACAATTTATAACATTTCTTTCTAAATATTCACAAATCTCTTTTTTGAATATTTTTTCCAGTATATTCCCAGATATTGATGTTAGGCTGATTGGTCTGTAGTTTCCTCGGTCTGTTTTCTCCCTTTTTTGAAGATGTGAACCACATTAGCATTTTTCTAATCCTCTGATAGTTTCCTAGTGCTCCAAGATTTTTTAAAAATACGACACAATGGTTCTGAGATAACATTGGCAGCTCCTTCATAATTCTGGATGTAATTCATCAGGTCCCGGTGATGTATATTCATCAAGGTCAGACAGGTGTTCCCTTATCGTTGTCTTGCTTATTTTAATTTCTATTTCTAGTCTGTCTTTTACAGTTATATTTTAGTAGGTTGAGTTATAGTTTCTCTTTGTGTGAAGACTGATGCAAAGAATGAGTTAAACAGTTCTGCTTTCTCTCTGCTGCCTCTTACTTCCTTACCATCTTCTCTCTTTAGTGGACCGACTGTTTCCTTGACTTTTTTCTTGTTGTTTATATGTTGAAAGAAACATTATTATCTTTGACTTTTGTTGTATGTCTTTGTTCATTCTGAGCCTTTGCTTTCCTGAGTTCATCTTTGCAGATTTGGGCTATCTGTTGATATTAGTTATGTGTTCCTCTTTCCATTTTTTGTACTTATCCTTTTTGTCTTTCAGTTTATCAGAGATATCTTTCTGCAACAATTCTGTTTTTTTTTTAAATTTTAAACAAAAGTTTTCATGCTTCTGTTATCAGGTCCCAATATCTTAGCAATTTTAAAAGTGCTGCATCCTCTGAAAGAATTTTTACAATTTTTGACTTTTCACAGTCAGTTAAATCTTTTTTTTGGCCCATTTTGCCTGAGGGACAGAAGCTACCTAATGTTTATACGCACTTTGATATAGAGTGTTGATTTTAGGCCACACCCTCCCTCATTACACAAATACACATCATCTGATGTATTTATATCTACTAAGCACTCAAGTTTATACAGTTTGGAGGTGGAAATATGCATAAAAATGATGACGTGATCAAAATACTCACTTGCCTAATAATTGTGTATATGGTGTATGTTTTCATGTCAGTAGAGTCAAATGTGAACTTAAACTGATTAACACTGAATATACAGCTATACTTCAACCACGTGTATGTGCACATGACTTCAGCAAAAAGAATGCTAGCATTATCTAAATATAAGATGTATATAATTTTTCCAGTCTTGATTATTGCTCAGTAGACATGAGTAGAGAAATAGTATTTAATATAATAAACAGTCAGGAAGACCTGAAGCCTCTCTTCCTTAGAATTTAAATAGTTGTCTGCTTTCTGCACTGCTAATGACAAGCTGTTCTCCTCATACACCCTCTTCATACCCTGCAATGGGATGTAAGAATAAGCTTGAACCAAAGGGGAAAGACAACAAAACAATAGTTAGATAAAAGAAGTTTTACTCTGAAGCAAAAATATGATTTCAGAAAGCAGTCAAACTTGACCCTCCTTAGTTCTCTGGAAAGTAAAAGGAGGAACGATGGAGGTGCATTCAGACTTGCAAGGTTCTGTTACCTTATAGCCATGATGGCGAACCCATGGCACGCGTGCCACAGGTGGCACACAGCCATTTGTGCAGGCACGTGAGCCCCAGCCAAACTTACCTGCACTGTGCCTGCATGTGCCTCCCAGCTGATTTTTGGCCTGTTTGAGGCCGTTTTCGCCTTCCCGGAGGCTCGAGGGAAGACTCTGCAGCCTCAGGAGGCCGAAAAACAGGCCTTTCAGAAATACCGGAAGTGCCAAAACAGGCCTGTTTTCAGCTTCCCAAGGCTACAGAGGCTTCCCTTGAGCCTCTGGGAGGGCGAAAACAGCCTCAAATGGGCCAAAATTCAGCTGGGAGGCACGCACATGCACAGTGCAGGTAAGGGTTGGGGCAGGGCAGGGGTGTTGCATGCTCAGGAGGGTGCATTGCACTGTGGGCGTCGTGCACACACTTTCAGCACACAACAAAAAGGTTTGTCATCACTGCCTTATAGCATCATCATCAACAAAACTTTATTTTATTATTGACCAACAAATAGAATTCAGAAATAGAGTTAATTAAAATGAAATACAAAATAATATATATATTTTCTCTATTTCTAATAAACACTTGTTGCCGCTGAGGATTGAAGTCGACTGTAGACAGAGAGATGGAATTGGATTGGAGGAGGCCTGGCCACCAGGCTGCTTCTTTCCACTCCTTTCTTCTGCTTTTCGCTGCACGCAAGGAAAGCAAAAAAAGTCTTTCTTTCTCTCCCCCAATCTCTGCCATAAATGAGTCCTTGGGACCCTGCAAGGCATCCTGCTTCAAGAGGCTGCACCAAAGACTCATTTCTGGTGGAGTTTGGAGGAGAGAAAGAAAGACTTCTGCTGCTTTCCTTGCATGAAGCCAAAAGTTTATCTCTTTTTCCCTCCTCCTGAGAAAGGAGCTGGAGACAATAAAGAATGATCAATCAGTAGGAAAATGGTGTGGAGGATTTTCCTGCAGACGTTTTTTGTGATTTTCCTAGGGTCTCTGCAGAAAAAAAGTCTGCAGGAAAATCCCCCACTCCGTTTTCCTACTGATCCATTTGGTACTGCAGAATACCATCTCTCTCTCTCTCTCTCTCTCTCTCTCTCTCTCCCTCTCTCCCCCTCCCTCCCTCCCTCCCCGAGAATGGAGCTGAAAAGCAAGTTAGGAATATGGCCGCCTTGGAAGGGGTGGTGTGTGTGTGTGTGTGTGTGAGAGAGAGAGAGAGAGAGAGCGCATAACTGCCAGCCCTCCGAGGTTAGATCAGATCTCTCTCTTTCCCACCAACGTCAGCAAGTCACCGTCAGTCAAATTCATATTAATGGTCCGCGGGATTTAAAATTATGAGTTTGGTGGTCCCTGAGGTCCAAAAGTTTGGCGACCCCTGATCTAGCTAACAAAGAGAAGAATTAGGGGTGACACAATAGCTGTTTTCTTGAGGGGCATCACAGAAAAGAGGGGGTTGTTTATTCTCCAAAGCATCTGAGAGCAGGACAAGAAGCAGTGGGTGGAATCTCATTAAAGAGACATCCAACCTGGAACTAAGGAGAAGCTTCCTGATAGAATAGAACAGCTTGCCTCCTGGAATTGTGGCTTCTTCATTACTGGAGGTTTTCAAAAAAAGATTGGGCATCCATTTGTTCCAGGATGGCATGGATCTCCTGCCTTGGGCAGAATATCTCCAAAGTCCCTCTATGATTCTAGGTTTGTTTTTTTTAAGTTTTTGTTCACCTTCCACGGAAGAAAGAATTAATCTTTACCTGGCAGTATCCATCCTCACTTGTTAAAAGAAACTTTCTGAAAGGCAAAATAAATGTAATGAATTTAACGCGATGTATTAGTCATCATCTATATATATATTTTAAAAAGTGAAATACCACTCACATATCATCACAAAATCTCCAGAACCATAAAGCCTACAAACTTGAAATTCGGCACGTATGCTCCTCTTGGCTTCTAGGTGCTTACTAAGAAAGGATTTTTCAAAATGACCATCAGATCATTAGTATTTCATATATTATTATTAACACATTCTGATGCTAAGGAGTTCTACTCCCTCTTCCCACCTGAAAAGAAATCTGTTCCAAATGCAAAACACAAGCAGAGGAGAGGAGTCTAAGTTTCAGTTTCACAGCACCAAGCAGCTTTAGTACAGAATAGTTGAGCTAAGCCATGCCCAGGCTCCTTGCTGTCTCCTTGCTCACTCAGCAAATACTGTTTCAGTTTCCAAACAGTCCTCAACTCTCACACACTGACAGGATGCTAGCCAGGTGAATGGATGCTGGTAGGCAGAGGTAGAATTTTCCCCCCTTATTTTTCTCCCCAAAAACTAGCCTGACCACACAGTTTTGTAGCGAAGCATGGGTATTGAGCTAGTTTCCTATATTTACTTAATGAAATGAAAGTATTTTTTTTTAATTTTGCATATATTTTACATTTTAGGTATGCATCTCTTACTTTTAAAACAGCCTGCGATGCAAAGCTGGCTGTGAAAGAAATGAATGGGAGAAAAATAAAAGGAAAAGCAATAAAAGTTCAGCTTGAAAGGACAATTGGAGAAAAAGGAATCCAAGAGAATCAAAACTGTATGAAACAAAAGTTTGAAAATCATGAGCCCCTATCTAAAAAGAGAACCAACTATCAGAAAAACTCTGATGCTACACTGATACTGCCTCCAGATGATCCTTTCACTTTAAAAATGTCTGATGTCTCCAAAGATGATTTGAAGTCGTCATTGCCTGCTTTGCCATTAACAAATGTTTTCAGACCTGCCTCAGGTTCTCCAGAAGTGCTCCTTTGTGCTTCAGGCTCTTCCAAAGTGCCCAATTCTGACACTGTATTTTCTTCACCAAAAAAAGCATCCTTTGAAGTAGATCAAAAGGTAACTTTTATGAGATTGCATATCAGAACATAAAGACTTACCTGTATCTATTGCAAGGTTTAGTATAGATAAGCTTTGTTAACTGATAAGTGCAGGTCTTCTGAGGTCATAATTTATCTTAATGCGTTAAGCAATGATTAAGTGCCTTCAATACTAATTTTTATTAATACTTAAGTTAATCAGCATCTATATATGACTAAACTCTTGTTTCTGTCTGTGGTAACTTTCAATTGGACAAAATGGTGCATCATAAGGCAACAGTTTTTTAACCAAAGGGTTAATTTGTGTCAAAATCCATTAATCCCATGGGATTGAAATTTTGTAAAGTTGTGGCTACTTCAGTGGTGCAATGTTCGGTCTTGCTCACATGATCATCATTTTCAACACTCCCTGGCAGCTTTCCATAAGTCAGTGGGGAAGCTGGCAGGAAGTCTAAACTTGATTGGGACTGAGGGAAAAACCTTGGGTTCAGCAGGAGAGCCAAGGCTCTCCGCAACCAGCAGGGTGCCCCTCTTTATCTGTCACCCCTACAGGGTTACTTAGCCCCTGGAGGGCCCTCCAACAAAGAGGATTTTGCACGGGGATGCAGAATCCCACTCCCCTATGTTGATCACACCATGCCATCAAACCGGAAGTCCTTGCTGAAGTCTTAAGTATATTGCGTTGACACTATTTCACTGGTCTAGTAATTTAATCACTGTTCTGAAGACTAAGATTGGTTTGACATAATCTGTTTTTAACAAACCCATGCTGACTTCTAGTTATTATTTTACTCATTTCTAGATGTTGGCAGATCTGTTTTTTTATTATATTTCCAGTATGTTCCTGGGTATTGATGTTAGGCTGATTGGTCTGTAGTTTCATGGGTCTTTTTTTTCCCTCTGGTAGTTCCACGATGTTCCAGGATTTCCAAGATGTGGTACAGTGATTCTGAGATGACATCTGCTAGCTCCTTTAGAACTCTGGGATGTAATCCATCAGGTCCTGGTGATTTATGTTCATCAAGATCAGACAGGTGTTCTCTTACAATTTATTTATTTATTTTTCTTATTTTAACTTTTATTTCTAGTCTGTCTTTTACAGTTACGTTTTTGATAGGTAGGACTATAGCTTTCTTTCTGGTTGGAGGAGTCCTGAGGCTTTCCTTGCTGTCACTTGGTAGAGGTGCAGACAGGGCAATTTGCCACATAGCTTTCAATGTCTTTTTTCAGAGATGGCAAAACCATCTCTTGATTAAATGCAAAACCAAAATGTCCAGCAGACTTGGATTCTTTCCCAAGACCATCAGTCTCTGGCTCTCTTTTATCCCCTACCCAGGCTAATCCATCCTGGAGTGAGCAAATGTTCTCATGATTTTGAAACCATTTGTTGGATTTTAGAGTGTCTTTTAAGTATAGCTGTCACCTTGTCAATGTGTCATTTCTCTTTCACTTGAGCTCAGCTAATGACTTGGGCAGCCAATTAACTGGATGGGAGCAGAAGTTTGACTACTTCTGCCTTAGGACAATTGTATTGAGCCATTCAGGATAAAGCATCAAGACCAAGAATTTCTTATCCCCCTGGGAGGTAGCACAACATGAAGATAAACCAGTTAAAATATTGTACCCATTGCACCTGCTTAGGAGATAGCCTCCATTGGGTTTTTAATGTCTCTAGGTTCTTGTGGTCAGTCCACACTTCAAACGGCACTTTGCTGCCTTCAAGGAAATGCCTGCAGGTTAGAAGTGCTCAGCACACCATGTAAGCTTCCTTCTCCCATATTGATCATCTTTGCTCAGTTTTCTAGAAGTGCAGGGCTGCTGATTCAGATTCACGCATTCATGAAAAAAAATGGTGTTAAAATCTGAACCCAAAACATGTACTCATCTACTACAGTGTTCCTTATATTTCTGGTAATTTTAAGATCCTCAATTATTACTGTTGCTTGAAGAGCTTTTTGTTTTTTAGTAGACTTTCAAAGGAGATCACCACTCCACCCTAATGTGTTTTACTACAGAACTTCAATGTCACTATTTTATTCTGTGCTTTTTTTTCTTGCTTCTTCTTGAAGACTGTGGTGACAACACGGCGTAGCATTTACATATTTGATAAATTTTTTAAGCTCTTCTTTAAATTCTTTGAAAGGTGTCCAGTTTCTTTTCTTTTTTTTAAAGAGGTGATAAATGTCTTTTTATTTTTTAATCTTTATTACACATTTTTCAAACATTTACACCACATTTCTATGTTTGACAGTGCTTCAGAGTCGGCTTCTTTCCTATTTACGTAGTTATATTTTTATTTTCAATTCCTGATATATTTCTCTAATATTCTTATATTTATATTTACCTTTTTATAATAACTTATATATACATTTCCTGCTACTCTTAAGTAATTTTTATACATATTCTTTATCTTTCTCCTCTAGCCACTCATACTGTATGTCCCAAATCTTATAATAATCTGTTTCCTTCTTGTCTTTTAACTCCATTGTTAATTTATCCATCTCTGCACATTCAAGCACTTTTTTTTATCACCATATCTTCTGTAGGGGTATTGGTCTGTTTCCAGTGTTGTGCAAAAACAATTCCAGTTTACACTCAATTTTTTGCTTAATGATCTTGAGCCATTTCTTTATCCTTATCCAATACTTCTTTGCTTCTTGACATGTCCACCACATGTGAAAAAATGTTCCTTGTTTATGTTTGTACCTCCAGCATGCCGCTGATCTATTAGGGTACATTTTCGCTCATCTTGCTGGGGGTAAATACCATCAGTAGAACATTTTATATAGGTTCTCCTTATATGATGCCGCCATTGTTAGTTTATAATTTTTTCCCCATAATTTTTCCCAATGTTCTAATTCAATGTTGTAGCCAAAAAAATTTGCCCAAATTATCACATTTTCTTTGATGATTTCTTCTTCCAACTTAATTCTCAAAAAATAATTGTATAATTTATTTATCATTTTCTCTCGTGGTCCCTGTAATATTTTATCAAATTCTTGTTGTTCTGTATAAAACCTATATTGTTCCAAATCTTTTTTGTATCACCTGAATTTGGAGATATGGCCACCAATCTATCTCTATTTCTTGGGATTTTAATTCCTGTTTTGTCTTTAGTTTCCCTTGTTCATCTAATAAATCTTTATAGGTTACCATTTTATTTAGGTCTTTTAAGTTGGGATATATCCTAATCTCCCTTGTAGATAGCCAATTTGGTATTTTCATATAATGAAGTCTCTTAATTTTCCTCCAGATATACAGAAGCGCATTTCTAATTAGATGTCTTTGGAAATACATCTGTGATTTATTTTTATCTTCCCAAATAAAGGTGTGCCATCCCAGTTGTAAATCATGTCCCTCAATCGTTAATACTCTTTCTTTTTTAATTCTATCCAGTCTCTTATCCAGGTCAGAACTGCTGCTTGGTAATAAAGCTCCCAGTCTGGGAGTCTAAATCCTCCTCTAAGTCTATTATCCTAATGCACTTTTAATTTTATTCTCGGTTTTTTCCCTAGCCAAACAAACTTCACTATCATTTTATTCAGTTCCTTAAAGAAGTTTTTCTCTAATTTTATCAGTATGGTTAGAAACAGGAATATAATTTTTGGTAATGTATTCATTTAAACCATCACTATTCTCCCAATTAATGATAATTGCAATTTTCCCAAGTTCTCCAGATCCTTTTTTATTTGTATTAGTAATTTATTGTAGTTGTCTTCGAAAGGTGTCCAGTTTCATAAAGTCATTAAGTTTAATTCATGAGATGCACATCCTATTGCAGTAATATGTGGATACTTGTCCATTATGATTTCCCATGCAGCTTTCATAGTACTTGCATTGTCAGTCAGCAAAGCAAATACTTAAACCACTCTCAATTTTCTCTAAAACTGAACATTTCCACTGCTGATATACTTGCAGTATGTCTGTTCTCTCCAGTTTCAATACTTCTGTAAAAGATTGGTTGAGGTGTTATCACAAAGTTGATGATTCCTTCTCCCTGAACATTTGTCCATCTGTAAGAACTGCAAGACATAGTACTTCACTGATTTTTCCTTGTACAGATTCCATCACACGCTCATATTCTGACTCCAAAAGAGACTTGGTAAGGAATGTCTGCTTGGCAAATGGCATGATGATAGTAATAATTTAAGTTTCCTGCCAATATGCATTTTCAGTTATTGACAATGCTGATCCAGAAGCAGATATTGCTCTTGCAAGAGCGTGGTCAATTTTCTCCTGATTTTCAGGTGTCATTTTATCTATAAATGAGAGTATTGTGTATTTTTGTGAGGCAGTGGTTTGCAACACTTCCTTACTTAAGGTGCTGCTGGTTAAGAAACACTTTGTGATAATCCAGAACCAGCAAAAAAGTGTTTTGGAATGAGAACAAATATTTGCACTTTCATTCTGCTCCTCATCATTTAATTCCATAAAGTATTTTTTAATATCTTCAGGGCACTTCTGGCATGCAACGATGTGTTTTGTCATCCTTGTAGCACTTAGAAAAGAATTCTCACAATATTTGCAAATTGCAGCTTTGCTTTCAGCAAAAATTGCACTGTGAAAATGTTTCCAAACTCTAGATGTTGGTCTCACCATTTTACTGTACTGTGATGGTGGAGATCATTAATAGGAATCATTTAAGGGTTATAAAAGAGAAACTAATTTGTCAGATAAATTTACCCTCTTACTTGTCGGTTAAGGCCTGAGAGGAGGACAGAAACTATCATCTACTGTATACCAACAATTACTCAACTGTAGGAGGTCCGAGGTACACAAGCAAACTAAACTGGAGCCTGTTCCCTGTAGTGCGCCCCTAGTGGCATAAATGCATATTTTACTTGTTTGAGAACTGTATTGAGAATTACAATATTACTTGAATTGTATTCCAGCATTTGCTTGTCTTCAGCCGAGAAAACTTGCAATAATTTAAGATTTTGCCAAAAACAAAATCTCATTTTTTCTGGAAAAAGCAGCTTTGAAAAAAAAAAAACAGGGAAAAAAACCTGTTTTTTCTCAATTTTTCAGGTTTTTTTCCAGGCCTTTCCATCTCTAGTCTTCACGCAAAAAGAAACTAGCCCAACCTACCAAAAACCTAAATGTAAAAGACAGACTAGAAATAAAATTAAAATAAGGAAGAAAATGGTAAGAGAATAGCTGTCTGACGTTGATGAATATAAATCACTGAGATCTGATGGTTTACATCCCAGAGTTCTGAAGGAGTTGGCAGATGGTATCTCAGAACCATTGTACCATATCTTTCAAAAATCCTGGAACACCAGGGAATTACCTGAGATCGGAAAAGAGCTGATATAATTCCCTTCTTCATAAAAGTGGGAGAAAATAGACCCAGGAAACTACAGACCAATCAGCCTAACATCAATACCTGGGAAGATACTGGAAAAAATAATCAAAAAGCAGATCTGCCAACATCTAGAAACAAAATTATAACTAAAAGCCACCATGGGTTTGTTAAAAATAGATCATGCCAAACCAACCTTATTTCATTCTTTGACAAAGTATGAAATGTTGTGGACATAGTATATCTAGTCTTCAGCAAGGCATTCGACAAAGTAGATCACAACCTATTTCTTGTTAAGCTAGAAAAATGTGGGATAGACCAGTGGTCGGCAACCGGTGGACCACGGCCCACTTGTGGGCCACAGAGAAATCTCACCCCCAGAGCACCCCCCCAAAGCAATTAATCCAGGCTGCGCACAAACGCAAGGCTGTGCCACCCATATGGCCTGCAGGAACCTCATCTCCTACTCACTCCTTACCTGGCAAACTTGCCTGCTAAATTGGTATTTTTCCTTATTTTTCCCCCGATCATCAGCTGTTTTGCTGTGCTGGGAGATTTAGATTAGCTAGGAAGCAGGAAATGGTTGTATTTCTTGCTTTCTAGCTAGTCTTTAGATCTTTGGCTCTGCTTTTAAGCACAGCTGAACCTCCCATAGGACTGAAGGTTCTATTATTTAGTGCAGACTCAGGGCAAGCAAATTTTATGTGACAGACTGAGCTAGCCAATGGCAGATAGATAGATCACTAAATGATTCTGTGAGCAACTCAATCTGCCTGCCTGCTTTGCCTGATTTTGCTCTTTTTTTATAAAAAATTCAATATTTATATAAATATTTATAATATTTACATACAAGCCATGCCCAGCCAGTCACATGACCACCAAACCATACCCACAAATGAGGCCACACCCACAGAACCGGTTATTGGCCCCTGGGATTTAAAATTATGAGTTTGGTGGTCCCTGAGGTCCAAAAGGTTGGCGACCCCTGGGACAGACAGCATCACCACCCGATGGATTTGTAACTTGCTGACAAACCGTACTCAACAAATAGTCCTTAATGGTACTACATCTACATGGAGGGAAGTAAGCAGTGGGGTGTCACAGAATTCCATCTTAGGTCCAGTATTCTTCAATATCTTCATAAATGACTTGGATGAGGGGAATAGAAGGGGAACTCATCAAATTTGCAGATGACTCAGAGCTGCCAGGAATAGTCAACACGCTAGAAGACAAATTCTGGATCCAAAAAGATCTTAACAACCTTGAAGAATGGGCCCTATACAACATGAAATTTAATGTGGAGAAAAGCAAGGTTTTATACTTAGGCAGGGAAAACAAAAGGTACAAGTAGAGATTAGGTGAACCCCGGCTCAAAAACAGTAACTGTGAGAGAGACCTTGGAGTCCTAGTGGACAATCACTTAAATATGAATCAGCAGTGTGCTTCAGCAGGCAAAAAGGGTAATGAAATCCTTGATTGTATAAACAGGCATAGAATCAAAATCATGTGAAGTATTAGTACTGCTTTATAAAGTCTTAGTAAGGCTATACCTGGAATCTAGTTTTGGTCACCACATTACAAAAAATGTTGAGACTTTGGGAAAAAGTGCAAAGAACAACTGATATTAAAGACTTGGAAACTAAAACATGAACGGTTGCAGGATTTGAGTTTGCTAGTGTAGAAAAAAGGACCAGGGGTGACATGATAGTATTCCAGTATTTGAGAGTTTGCCTGAAAATGGAGGGGGTCAACTTATTTACCAAAGCACCTGTAGGCAGGTCTAGAAACAATGGATGGAAACTAGTCAAGCAGAGAAGCAACCTGGAACTAATGAGAAACTTCTTAACATTGAGGACAATGATCTGGCTTGTAGCTGCTTCATCACTGGAGGTTTTTAAGAAAGAGACTGGACAGTTACTTGTCTGAAATGGTATAAGGTCTCCTGCAATGAGGAGGGGGTTGGACTAGAAGACTTCCAAGGTCCTTTCCAGCTCTATTCTGATTGGCTGATTCTATTGTAACAATTGCTATACTTACTGTATACTATTGAAGAAATTTCTAGATTGAATGGAATTTAATTGAAAGGGAACATTTTAGATAATCCAATTAACCTTTTAAAACTGCCATGTCTATAAAGCATGTGAAAAACGTTAATCAGTTCGGTTGTATTGAATATATAAAAGAAGGTCTTATTTCCGAAAACTTCAATTATGTTCTTTCTAATGTTACAGCATTATTTAAATGACAGTTTCCATAACAAGAGCATTAATACTTTAATCTTGAATACAACTACAGTTTTTGTTTATTTGGTATTTAGGATATTGCAGACAGCCTCTTGCCATTTGGCTCAATACAGTTTACTCCAAATCCATCTTCTACTTTTATAACTCCAAATACATTAAACTTAAGAAGTTTCCGCAAAGTAGTAAAGAAACTGGAAGAGTTATATCCACAGATTACTAGGTAAGTGTGTAATTCAGAGGTGATATTTGTAGGAATATATTTATCAAGCTGATCTTGAAGGTTCTCATTATTTTATTTTAGAGACAACATTTTGGCTGCTTTGGTAGAGATAAAAGAAAACAAGAGTCAACTTAGTGGTTTGCCCTTAAGCACAATTATTCAAATGACATCATCTCTCCTGAATAAAAAATGGGCATCACAATCAGAAAAAAAGGAATCTGAGAAATAAACAAGTGAGTACCTTGACAATGTATTGAAATGTACATTTTACAAGTCTGAGTTGTAATGAATTTCTACCCCTGCTGCATTTTACATTTGTATTTTAATACTAAACATTTTGGAAGTAAATGCCTATGTAATTCAAGTGTTTTACTACTGTAAATAATTAGCTTAGTATCTATCAGGACATAAAACTAGTTTTTCTATATGCTGCTCTTTTATGGAATTTTAATTAAAAGCCAAAGACCTTGAAATTCAAAGGTGTGAAATTCATACTAAGTAGCCACCATACTGAGGGAAAATGGGAAGATAGGAAAAATCAAGCAAGGAAATATTTCAGACAATAGTAGATATGAAAAGATGTGGGTGTCTTGGTGGATCAAAAACTGAACATGACCCAATTGGATGGTATAGCTGTGGGGGGAAAAAATCAAACCTAGTCTGCATCAGGATCAAGAGATGTCACCTAGACAATTACACCTAGTTCTGGAATATGTATTTTTAGTTGAAATAAATGGAGACAACTAATAAAATATTGTTATTAGTGTCTACTAGGATTAATGGGAAACTTTAATTAGTCACAACATTCCAGAGAGGTACTCAATCAAGCATGGTTTTCCTAAGAGATGTTTCATTTGTAGTGCTGAAAATTTTCTCCTTTGAAAGATGATGAAAGGTATCAGCAATTTATTTGCTATTACTGATAATGAAGACAGTCACTTAAGTGATTTAGGAAAGTAAATTAGTGTTACTGTCAGGTCCTATAGAACCCTATTGGGACACTGCCATTCTGGTGGGGAGGGGCCCCCGGATACTCTTTTACAACCCCTTTCCTGCTTCTGGCTTTCCTGTCACTTTGTGGACCTGCTTGGGGAAGGGAGGAGGGAGGGAATTACTTGGGGCCATCTGTTTTGTCTCAGCTCCAAAGGAACTGCAAAGTGACACCTGAGAACAACTTCTTATCATCTTTCTTATCTCAAGTTCTCATAACAACTTCACCCCTGTGGGCTGGCTCAGCTTGGACTGGACATATGGGACAGGTTTCCTGCAATGTTTAATCTAACAGGTTTTTCAGCTGGAACTTCAGATCCTGCCTTGCTTTCCTTACTATCACTTTCCCTCAATAAAAGTTTCCTTTTGAAATAATGCCTGTTTCAAGAGTTCTGCTTTCTTGAGCAGAAGAGGCAAGCCCTTACAGTTATTCTTGACACTTGGCTGTATTCACATGAAGCAGAGAATTCTCTTGCATTGTAAACATGGAGTGAGATTGGATTTACCGGTCTATTTTTTTTTTATTGGTATTCACATGACAGAATGTTGTAAGTTCAATGACCAACTAGGCTTTAGGTTAACTCCTAATTTGTTCTGGGCAAGGTGCAATCTTTCTGTATTTGTGGTTCTACATTCGCTAAAATATTTACATTTAAGAAAATGGATATAAAATTGTATTAGTGTTTTAGAAGCAAACTATGATATTTAAAATAGTATTTCCCAGTAAACAATTATTCAATTTCCTGCAGACATTTGTGGGTTTCCTGATACATCTTCAGTTTACAGTCATGTTACTTTATCTCTAAGAAGCCACATTTGCAGAATTGAAACAATCACTTGAAGAGTATTGAAAAACCATGAGCTTTCTACAGTATTTGAATTTAAACAAGAATAAAACATTAATTTAGGAAGACCATGGGTTGATAAAAATACTTCAGTTTTCACTGTTTATATTGTAGTTTATAAGAACTAGGAACTGTAAGAAATGACCTAATGTTTAATCCTTGCTTCAAACTCAAAATATTCTCATTTTTTTTTATTATATGTTGTTAATTATTATAAATATTCATAAATAAATGAATCTTGTGTGGTTAAAATTTTTAATTGCAATTTAAATAGTTCTATTATATATGGTTTATTAACTGAATTAAAGCATTTCTTACTGAAGTGATGAATCCCATTTTGTTAAAAATGTATTCATATGAAATAAACATGGTTATTCTTTTCAACTATATGATTTTTTTCCTAACTCATCAAAATCAGACAAAATATAGCATATTTAAACGTGTTTCATAAAACTAGTATTCAATGTATTTTAGATTTTCAGATCACAAGTTTAAAAGTTCATTTTGACAAGATCATTTCCAGCTGCTGTTTTTAAGGTAGATCTGTAATAGGTCTTTGTTCAACTGGAAACTCTGTCAATGCGAGAGCCAAGGTAGCATGTATTATAGAGATCTGGGTGGGTCCCAAAGGTGGGTGTGCATGATCATTTCAGAGATAAGACCAGCTGGTTCCTAGGTATGCATTACTAGAGATCCTAGGGAGGGATGATGGTGTAGCAATTGCCATCAAGGAATCCCTTATGGATTTCAGGTGTGGTCACTGGATATATGACCTTGTTCATTAAGTTGGGCTTTAGAAAGCAGTTTGGATTGTTGATATTGCTCCAGCTTCCCTGCTGCACAGTAACCTCCTTCCCTAAGCTCCTTAAATTCATTTTTGGGTTGATAGTAGAGTCTGGGGGGATCTCAAACTATTTACTTTAGGAATGGAGCTGAGGAGAGCTTATGGTCTATCACGGATCATCCAGAGTCCAGCCTGGGGTGAGGCTGAGGTAGCAAGGAGGCCCCGTGGGTCAGTCTAGGGCCAGATCTAGGAACCAATTCTGTCCATGGCCTGGGTTTGCTGATCACTTGCATGTGCCAGCCTTATTGTTTGAGGGCAGGAAAGAAGCCTTCAACCAGACATGTCAAATACAAGGCCCAGATTTGGCCTGCAGAGCTACCCTAGAGACAGTGAGGGACTGGCTGCTGACGCCATGGCCCACCCCAGCTGGAACCACCACCACCCCGGTGCACGCACAGGAGGCAGTGAGCGTATGTGGGCTGACAGTGTCCAGCAGCAACCCACCAAGGGGCTCTGCAGCACATGCAGCACAGGTGGGTTTGGGGCGCTATGACTGCCAGGCTGGCCCTCGAAGTAGCAGGCAGAGGCACAGGGGAAGACGCACATGATCTAGTCAGTTGGAACTCAGGGCAGCTGCCTACCACTCACATGCTCCATCCCACTGTCTGTCTTTGGTTACCCACTGCCACCATGTTGGGATAGGGCAGGTGGCCAGGCAGCTGCTTAGCACATCTGGTGGTCTATATCATGTGCCTCTCCCCTGCACTTCTTTCTTTGCCTGCTGCCAGTGTCATTGTCATGAGGCCAAAGCATGGCAATGACGGCAACTTGCTGGGCTGCCTCACCACAACCCATCTTTGTTCCTCAGTGGATCAGGCCCCGGCACCCACCCTGGTCCTATCCCCTTCTGCCAGTGACCTCACTATCCCCCCTGCCCTGTCTGATCCCCCACAGGCACCCCAACAGAAACTACATTGAGCTGGCCATGCCTATCCATTGGACTGCGACCACCCAGCCATGCCCCACCACACACACTCCCTTCTCTCCTGAGGGCAACCATAATGCTGATATGGCTCTCAATGAAATTGAGTTTGAACCCCTGACATGGAGGGAAGTAAGCAATGAAATACCCCAAGGTTCTGTTTTAGCCCTAGGACTCTTCAATTTCTTCATAAACGATTTAGAACGATTAAGGAATAGAAGGAGAACTCATCAAATTTGCAGGCAACACCAAGCTGGCAGGAATAGCCAGTACACCAAGTTCAAGATCCAGAAGGATCTTGACAGACTTGAACACTGGACCCTCTCTAACAAAATGAAATTCAGTGGTGAAAAAAGTAAGGCTTTACACTTGAGTAAGAAAAACTAAATGTACAGCTACACATTAGGTGAAACTTGGCTCAATAGTAGTAACTGTGAGAAGGATCTTGGAGTCCTAGTAGATAATCACTTAAAATATGAGCCAGAAGTGTGCTGCAGCAGTCAAAAAAATCAATGTGATCCTAGGCTGCATTAAGAGAGGGATAGAATCAAGATCATGTGAAGTGTTAATACCACTTTATAATGGCTTGGTAAGGCCACACTTGGAATACTGTATCCAGTTTTGGTCACCACAATAAAAAAGTACCAAAAGAAGCACCAAAATGCAATACTTTCAAAGGGAAAGGTAATTTTGGAGGAAGGTTTGGGGAAAAACATGCTATTCTTTGATTGTAAGGTAGCCCAGCTATAGGTGTGTATAAACATTAGTGCAAGAGAAAGAGTGCTGAAAAGAGCAACAAAGATGATTAGGATGTGGAAGGTTAAAACACATGATAGCAGTGTTCTTTCATATTAGCCACAAAGAAGAGGATGTCAACCTATTTTCCAAAGCATCAGAAGGCAAGACAAGAAGACGACCTTTTGGCTATGATGGACAAGGTTTTCAAACAGATTTTCAAGTAGTACTTTTGTGAGCACTTGCGGGCATGCTAATAGGAGTCAGAATGGATTCATCAGAAATAATTCCAGACTAGCCTTATTTTTTCCTTGATCTTGTTATTAAGTAAATCAGGAATATGAGATATGCGGGGATTCTAGTAAAATAAAAACTTTTTTTGAAAATTTTATTTGGGTTTTCACAAAAACAAAATACAAATAAAACATCTTTTTTTGGAAATAGCATGGTCCCAGGTTATCACTTCATACAGAGACAAACTCAATTTCATGCTCATTTTTATGTTCTATTCCATATCTTATTACTGTTTTATATTTTCTACATAGATTTTCCCCTCTTTTAATTTTCTCAACTTTATTTTAATTATCTCATCTCAATTCAAATCATTATATTTATACTTTTGTCTGTCCTGTTGCAATTTCATATTATCTTTTCTCATTAAACAAATTTTCCTCTGTATTTACTAATTGGAGTATGACACCTTTATATCTTTTAATTTTATCCATTCAAACTCGTATTTAAGCTTCAATGTATACCTTTAAGATTACAGCATTCAATATAATATATAACTTCCAATCGAATTCTGCTTGGTACATTTTTAAAATACACTATTCTTAAAAAGAAAAGATTATATATATATAAATAAATCACACATTCCATTCCAATTCAATTCTATCATTAATATTCATTAAAATCTTAACACGTTTAACATTTCTTTTCAATTAAATATCATACTTCCTTGGGAACACTTATAAACTTTCCATAATTCTTTTTTTCCCACATTTCTCACTTATATTTTTATAAATCATTAATAATAATGAAAATGTTCCCATCCTTTCCTAATTTAATTATCTCATTCACTTTAATTCATTTATTTATTAACAGACATTCCACTACATTACAGTGAATATTTTATCCATCATTTTAGTCATATTTTCTAAAATTATTTGTATTTGTAATATAACAATGCTATCTTATGTACCTTTGCAGAATCCCTTTTACAATTAAATTTTCACCCATTATCTCTAAACAGGCTTATGGTTTCAATCCTTGTACCTTTTTCCTATTTCTCTATATCTTGTTTCTGTCTTTTACAACTTCTTTTCCTTTCCTTCTTCCCTCTCTTCTTCTCCCTCCCCTTTTTACCCCCTCGTCTCTCTACTTCTAATTCTCTCATCTGTAATCCCGTTGCTTTCTAATATTATACTTATCTTTCAAACTCTTCTTCTTTTTGGTTGTTTTTTCTAGTCTTAAACCATTCACTCTCTTTCCCCCCTTTCCTTTTCTTCCCCCGCTTAAAATTATTTGATCATTAAAGATGGCTTCTTCTTTGTCCCGATCTTCTTGTTCTGCAAGCATTTCTTGTTGTTTCTCATAGTTCCAGATCTCCATATCTAAGAATTGAAATACGAAGCCAAAAGAACCTCTCCCTTCTTGTGCATCTTCTTTCCATTTTTTCAGTTCCATTTTCAGTTCTTCTAAGAGTGATGCCATTTTAAACACTTTTAAACAACCACCTGATTAGTTTTAGTCATTTAGATGCAAAAACCAAAAATCACCAAGACATCCAAATAATCCAAGGCTGTTTCTTCTTGCTTCTTTTTTCCACGTTTTCTTCCTGGGGTCCTATTATTTTGTTGCCAAGTTTCAGTTAGGATGTATCTTTGGAGAATCTTGTTAAAGTTTCACTGTAAGTTCCTTTTAGTTACAGTTCCATTGCTTAGTTCCAGGCAGTCTCCTCCATTTTTCCAGATCCTACCCTTTTCTTTTTTTTTCTCCTTTCCTGCTTTTAAAAACTTTTAAATATCCAGAAATCTTTATTATCCCTTTGATTTTTATTTTCAGCTTAAATGCCTATTAATGTCAAAGTAGATTTTTTTTTCAATTTCTTGCTTAAGTCTCTTAGCTGTCAGTATATGAAAGGGAAGAAAAAAAAACCCTAATCCTTTCACTTTTTTCTCTCCTTCGCTGCTTCAAAGTCTTCTTTGGGAACAATGGTATTTAGTTTAAATTGCAGGGTACCTTAAGTTATTGCTTTTTCAGCTTAACCTGGTTGACCAAAACTTTCTCTTCTTATCTTCCTCCTGCACATTCTTTTCTGATTCAGTTCTTCTTTGTGGCGGCCATTTCTGACCACTGCTGCAACCGCCTTCGGGAAAGGGAGTAATCGCCAGCTGGGGAAGAGAGATGCGGCTCTCCTCGACCCTGCTGGCAGTCTCCCCCCTCTTCACCACCTCTACAGGGTGGCTTAGCCCCGAAATCAGCCGGCTCCGGGCGCTCCGGCGGCGAGCACAGATCGAAACCGCGCACGATCGCAGTCTGTCGCCAAAGAGACTCAAACCAGAAGCCTAGTAAAATAAAAACTTTTGAGATTATTTTTTCTTTTACTAATTTGAGAGATTATTTTTCCTTTTACTAATATTAGTAAAAGGTTATCTGTTTAATAATATACTTCTAGTTAGTGGGTGAAATTAGTGCTAATTGATGGGATTTACTTCAGCTTGGAGGGAAGTGGAGTGGAGTGCAACGACGCTTAGTTCCGAGTGGTGTTGTTTTAATGTTCTTTTTATCAATGATTTGCGAGAGGGGTGGTGAGTACTCAAAAGCTTGCAGAGGGCACAAAACAGGTGGTGTTATTATAAGTAAATAAATAAGAGAAGATTTAAAAATATATAGACAGCGGAGCAGTAGGCTGAAATAAATGGAATTTGTTCAAGGAGAAGTTTAAAGTTCTGCATCTGGCTAGGATGGGTACTTGGCTTGGCAGTAAACATAAAAATAATCTAGATACTCTAGCCCAGGGGTGTCAAATTCAATTTCATTGAGGGCCCATTAGGGTTGTTTTTGACCTCATGGGGCCGGGGTGGGCATGGCCAGCTTGACATCACTCATTGAGGCTCTGTTTTCAACTGCAGTAACCTCCTGCAGCCTTCTGCCAGTAAAAACGGAGCTTGGGGAGGCCACGCATGGCCCACCCAGCCTCAGTTTTCAGCTGTGATGGCCTCCTGCAGCCCTCTGCCAGCCTCCCCAAGCTCCATTTTTACTGGCACAGGGCTGCAGAAGGCCGTCATGCCTGAAAATGGAGCCTGGGAGGACTGTGGCCCTCCTGAGCTCCATTTTTGCTGGCAGAGGCACCACAGGCCAGTCCTTCACTGTTTCCAGGGTAGCCCCATGGGCCAGATCTAAACACCCCGTGGGTTGGATCTGGCCCAAGGCCTTGAGTTTGACACCCCTGCTCTAGCCAAACCCAAGTAAACATGAGCCAACAGTATGATGCAACTTCGAAAAAGATAAAACACTATTCTGCAGAAGAACAAGGGCATGGTGCTCAGATTTAGTTTTGGGCACCATTACTCAAACATGATAGTGAAAAAACTGCAGCAAATATTGGGGCTATCAAGATGGATGAAGGCTCCAGAAACCAAGGCCTATAAAAATATTAAAAGATCTGGACTTCCAGTTTGAGTTTCTTCGGCGACAGACCAAAACCGCGAGTGTGCAGTTTCAATCCGTGCTCGCTGCTGGAGCGCCCCGAGCCAGCTGGTTTTGGGGCTAAGCCACCCCGTAGAGGTGGTGAAGAAGGGGGAGACTGCCTGCAGGGTTTGAGGAGAGCCGCATCTCTCCTCCCCAGCTGGCCATTACTCCCTTTCCCGAAGGCGGTTGCAGCAGTGGTCAGAAATGGCCACCACAAAGAAGAACTCAACCAGAAAAGAATATGCAGGAGGAAGATAAGAAGGGAAAGTTTTGGTTGACCGGGTCAAACAGCAAAAGCAACAAATAAGGTACCCTGGAATTTAAACTATTAAAAAAAAAATAACACGGATCCCAAAGAAGATTTCTAAGCAGTGAAGGAGAGAGAAAAGGGAAAGGATTTTTTTTTTCTCCTCTTCCTATACTGACAGCTAAGAGACTTAAGCAAGGAATTGGAAAAAAAAGTCCACTTTGACATTAATAGGCATTTAATGCTGAAAATAAAAAGTCAAAGGGATAATAAAGATTTCTGGATAATTTAAAGCTTTTTAAAACAGGAAACAAGAGAAAAAGAATAAAAGGGCAGGATCTGGAAGGGAGGAGACTGCCTGGAATTAAAAAGAACTTTCAGTAAAATATCAACAAGACTTCCAAAAGATACATCTTAACTGAAACATCGCAACAAAATAGTAAAACCCCAGAAAGAGAAAGTGAAAAAAGAAATAAGAAGAAACAGCTTGGGACTATTTGGATTATTTGGTGATCTCTGGATTCTTGGTTACTGCATTTCAACGACTAAAATCAATCGGGTGGTTATTTAAAAGTGTTTAAAATGGCTCCACTTTTAGAAGAACTGAAAATGGAACTTAAAAAGTACAAGGAAGATGCACAAGAAGGGAGAGGTTCTTTTGGCTTCGTATTTCAGTTCTTGGAAACGGAGATTTGGAACTGAGAAACAACAAGAAATATCTGCAGAGGAAGAAGATTGAGACAAAGAAGAAGCCATCTTTAATGAACAAGTAATCTTAGGTGGGGGAAAAAAAGGAAAGGGGGGAAAGAGAATTGAAAGTTTAAGATTGGGAAAAACAACCAAAAAAAAGAATAGAGTGAAAAATAAGTATAAAATCAGAAAGCAACGAAAGAGGGAAATGCAGAAGAGGGAATTAGAAGTAGAGAGACAAGGGGGTAAAACGGGGAGGGAGAAGAAGAGAGGGAAGAAAGAAAGGAAAAGAAGTTATAAAGGACAGTAACAAAATATAGAGAAACAGGGCCTATTTAGAGATAATGGGTGAAAATCTAATGGAAGGGGGGATTCTGCAAAGGTACATAGGATAGTATTGTTATATTAGAAATAGAAATAATTTCAGAAAATATGAAACTGTAAGATTAAAACGTTTGATAAGGTAGTTGTCATAACAGTGGAATGCTTGTCAATAAATAAATGTAACAAAATGAATATTTAATGATTTATAAAACATGTGAAGAGAAATAAGGGAAAAATTAAGTATGGAGATTATACGTGTCTTTAGGGAAATGATATTTAATTGAAAAGAAATGTTAAAGATGTTAAGACTTTAATGAATATTAATGATAGAACTGAATTGGAATGGAATGAGGGTTTTAATTACATATATTTATAATCCTTTTCTTAAAGAATATAGTGTGTATTATAAGAATGTACCAAGCAGAATTTGATTGGAAGTTATGTATTATGTATTATATTGAATGTTATAATCTTAAAGGTATACATTGAAGCTTAAATAAGAATTGAATGGATAAAATTAAAAGATATAAAGGTGTCATACTCCAATTAGTAACTACAGGAGAAAATTTGTTTAATGAGAAAAGATAATATGAAATTGAAACAGAACAGACAAAAGTATAAGTATAATTATTTGAATTGAGATGAGATAATTAAAATAAAGTTGAGAAAATTAAAAGGGGAAAAACTATATAGAAAATGCAGAATAGTAATAAGATATGGAATAGAACACAAAAATGAGCATGAAATTGAGTTTGTGTCTGTATAAAGAAGTTCAACCTGGGACCAAGCTATTTTCAAAAAAAATGTTTTACTTGTATTTTGTTTGTGTGAAAACCCAAATAAAACTTTAATTAAAAATATATTTAAAAAATCTGTTTATATTTTGCATTACAGAAATTATAGCTGTTAGGACATGGTATAACAGTCTTCCAATACTGGAAGGTTTGTCACTAGCTCTTGACTGAGTTGTCAGTCAGTGGAAGAGAATTTCATGATTTTTTTGCAGTAGTGCTTGAGACAGAGGCTGAAAGCCATCTATCAGATGCTCAAGTTGACACCTTCTAGCATTAACCAAGACACTTAGAAATCTTGTTGGACAGAGTACGTTCAAAGCTATACAATTTTGTCTGAATGGGTAGGATTTTTTTTTCACTGCACAATGTTGCGTATTTTATGAAAGGGCATTATCAAGAATAGTTTTAAAACCATATTTGCCTTGAGGGGGGAACTGCTCTTTTCTCCATCGCCCGGGGGGTGGGGGTGGGCGGAGTGCTATACCAGAGATAAAGACACAAAACTACCCTCAAGGTGGTTTTCCCGCTCCTCGTGGGGAAATGGCCCGTCATACTATTCCCGAAGGAGGTCATACAACACTGGCGGCTGAATAACCAGTTTATTGTCTTCTGCTTTCCACTGTTGGCGACTCTCCGCGCTGTCCTCTTTCAACTTTGGTCTTTTGGATGAATAATAAAACACGGAAGTTGTGAGCCTTGGTTACATCTTCAGGGAGCCTCAGAGGTAGAACCCACAGGACAAAAAAAACCCCTACGGTTCCGCCAGCCCAACTGAGTTTATTTTAAATACTTCTGCTACGCATGCTGCTTACGCCTTGCGACGGAGCCTGGACCAAGCTCCCCCTCGTAGCAACAGGACGGCCCTCCGCCGTCCAGCAAGTCCTTGGAGGAAGAAGGAAAACGAAAATCATTCCTTCGCTCTTCCTCTGCCCTCCCCGAAACGATCCAATCAGAACTCCCTCCCTTTCCACGTGCCCTTGGTGGCAGCTAACGTTCCTTTCTTCGAAGAAGGGCGAGGGTACTTCCCGTGGGCTCCTTTGCTACAGCTCGTATTTGCCAACCTCCCTTAGCGGAGGCTCTTCACGGGGTGGAATTGGTTGCATTTGATCCTCCCCTTGACGTCTGCAGCGGCATCTTTTTTGGAATGATTTGTTCGTCAAAGATTCCTGTTGCTTAAAATAAAGTCCCTTGGCGTCGACAGGTTCATTCCTCTACTGGAGCCATGGCTTTGGGAACCGTCCCACTACTGAAACGTTGCTTGTGGCTTGGCCTCGGTGAGTGCTGCTTTGTGCCAGTTCAGAATATGGCTATTTAGAGGCGAGAACAGAGGTGGGCAGGCCAGACACGACCGAGGTCATCCACACGTTGAGATAATATAGGCTAAAATCTGAATGGGGAAATTTAGTAGATGTGTGTGTGTTGTGTGTAAGGCACAAACGCACACATATATTCTCTGGGTGCATGATTATTTTGCTGTCCATGTATTGCTGTATTGTTGTCAATCTGCCTTTTGATGATGATAGTTAGGATGGTAACCGGTGATGATGATTAATGGCAATACAAAACAATTTACCAGGATTCCCACAAATAACTTTTGGTTTGAATCATCAGAGAAACTTAATTTTCTAACAATAAGAACTGTCAGTTGCAATGGAATTGTACAGTGCCTTCTGCATTTACAAATACAAATTACTTTTGCGTTTGTATGCTGCTTCTGTTTCATCAACGTATGTTTTGCCAGTCAGTTTATGAGATGCTTTGAGGTCAATGAGAATTTAATTCTACCCTTATTCTACAGATGTGTTGCATTTCACATCTTGTCATCTTTGTTAACCATTTGGAAAACACCATGCAGGACATTCACTATCTTAGCCTCCAAGTTGATAGAATTAAGATCTGTCATATTCTAAATCAGGGTAGGATGGAAATAGATATGATCCAGCTATAAGATTGAATTTCAAAGAAAGAAATGGCAAGATCACGTGAGGTACTAACACCACTCTATAAAGCCACACCTAGAATATTGCATCCAGTTTTGGTCACCACATTATAAAAAAGATGTTGAGGCACCAGAACAGGGGTGTCAAACTGGCAGCCCACAGGCTGGATGCGTCATGTGCATGCCCATCCCAACTCCGCGAAGAGGAAAACCATTGCGATACATCATGTGGCGGCAACATGTTACAGTGAGTTTGACACCTGTGCTCTAGAAAGAGTGCAGAGAAGGGCAACAAACCTAATTAGGGGACTGGAGACTTAAACATATGAAGAACAAGTACAGGAACCGGGCTTGGCTAGTCTAGTGAAGAGAAGGACCAGGGGATACATGATAGCAGTCTTCCAATATCTGAGGGGCTGCCACAGAGAGGAAGGGGTCAAGCTATTTTCCAAGGCACCAGAAAGCCAGACAAGGAATATTGGATGGAAACTGAACAAGGAGACATTCAACCTGGAAATAAGGGTAATTTTTCTGACAGAACAATCAACCAGTGGAACAGCTTGCTTTCAGAAGTTGTGGGAGCTTCACCACTGGAAGTTTTGAAGAAGAGACTATATTGCTATCTCTCAGAAATGGTATAGGGAGTGGGTGGTGGACAAGATGAACTACAAGATCCCTTCCAACTGTTGTTCTATTATTATTAAGATGGGAGGTATGCAAGTTTAATAAATAATGCTCTCTCTCTCCCCATGGTCTCTCTGCTGACAGAAGCAGCTGATTGTGTCCTTTGCTTGTTTTGTGCACTCTCTCTCTTTCCTCTCTCCCCCCCCCCCACCCTTTGTCAACTTCCTATCTCTTCTGATTAGCTAAGTTTAGGGCTACATAAGCAAAATGAGCAAATGGATAACTGACTTGAGCCATAAGGAAGGCTGTTCCTCTTTGCAGGGAATATCCCACTACAGTGGCACAACTCTTCCCAAGTGGTAATGTTAAACTGAAGTTGTAATTTCTTAAATCCTTCACTCCCCCCCCCCCTTTTTTTTTTTTGAGGATAAGAACAAGTTTGCTGTCTCCATGGGGTTTGAGGGGTTTTTCTGCCTTCAAATCAGTGCTTGACTCCTGGTGACTGCCTGGACTGCCTGCAGTTTTCCTGGGAAGATTTTGGAAGTGATTTGCCTTTTCCTGCTTCTTAGGGTTTAGAGAGAATTAGAATGACTGGCCCTAGTCACCAGCTGGCTTTTGTGCCTAAGACAGGACTTGAATTCACAATCTCCTGATTGCTACCCTGATGCCTTAAGCCAGAGTTCCCCAAACTTTCTGCCTTTGTGGACCGGCAAGGAGGGGAGGGGAAGGTTCTGCACAAGTAGCCAGCAAGTGTGCATTGGCATGTGCACCTGCCACTCATGCAAATGGAGTGCGCCTGCATGCGTTTGACCCCTGCTTGCACAAGTGTGGATGCGTATGTGTGTGCTCACCTATTTCTGTGGCTTGTTTATAAACACCTCACAGCCCACTAGTGAGGTTGCCCAGAGGTTGAGGACCCACGCCTTAACCAACTACAGTAATCTTCAACTTACTGTATGACAACCATTTAACAATCATTCAGAGTTATAATAGACTTGAAAAAAGTTAGCGGATAAAAAAAATACACATCTCTGTTAAAATGTCAGATTTTTGAGATGTTAAAAAATCAAACCAAGATAAATCACTTCAGAATTTTTTAAATCTTTAATATAACATATCAGTTGTACAATTCAACTGAAAAACAAACTGCCAGGTTAATAGCTGCTCCTTATGAAGCCTTCCTTTGCCCTCAGAAGGAGAAAGTTTTCCTCAAAAAAATTCCTGGAAGGACAGTGCTCAGTGGAGTTATGTCTCAATAGATGCCAAAGTTATTACAGTCTCCCATTTTTCTTTATAGTTTTGTGTATCTAGGACAGATACTATTTTCAAGTGGAAATATTTCATAGTATAAATGCCTTTCTGGAGCTTAGATTTCAGAATATTTTGGAGCCTAAAATGGATCCTATGTTGGCAGGAAAAGTAAGCAAACATTCATAAAATCATAATCTTGTAATCAAGAAAATCAAAATTACCCAAATCAAGAAATAAAATCTCGTGTAAAAAAGATAAAGCCATATATGAAAAACTAAAATAAAGCCATATGTGAGAAATTAAAGTACACTTTGTGATTAAATTGCTTGTAGAATCAGTTTAGCAGCAGCAACATGAAGTAATCATTTTCTGTATGACTTCATCAGAATTCTGGAATTTTGTGGAGAACACTGGCCCACTCTTCTTTACAACATTGCTTCAGTTCATTGAGATTTGTGGGCATTTATGCAGTTCTCTTGAAGTCCCGTCACAGCACAGCATTCAGTCGGATGAGGTCTGGACTTTGATTTTGCAACTCCTTGATTCTTTTCTTTTTTATCCATTCTGTTTTAGATTTGCTAGTGTGCATGGAATCATTGTCCTGTTGCAATGCATGATCCAATATTGTCTAAGTTTTAGCTCTCATTCAGGTGGCCTCACGTGTGTCTCTAGAATACTTTGGTATATAGAGGAGTTGGTATATAGATGGTTGGTATATAGATGGTTGGTATATAGATGGTTGACTCAGTGACTGCAAGGTGCCCAGGTCCTGTGACTGCAAAACAAGCCCAAATAATCACAAATCATCATTTGGGTGCCACAAGGTTCCGTCTTAGGTCCAGTACTCTTCAATATCTTCATTAATGACTTAGATGAGGGAATAGAAGGGGAAGTTACCAAATTTGCAGCTGATACTAAGCTGGCAGGAATAGCTAACACCCAAGAAGATAGGCTTGAGATCCAGATGCATCTTGACAGACTAGAACACTGGGCCATATCTAATAAAATGAAATTCAATATAGAGAAAAGTAAAGTCCTACACTTAGGCAAGAAAAACCAAAAGTACACATATAGACTGGGTGAAACCAGGCTCAATAGCAGTAACTGTGAGAGGGATCTTGAAGTCTTAGTGGACAACCAGCTAAATATGAGCCAGCAGAGTGTGCAGCAGCCTCCAAAAAAACTAATGCAATCCTAAGTTGCATTAACAGAGGGATACAGTCAAGATCAAGGGAAGTACTAATACCACTCTATAAAGCCTTAGAAAGACCACACCTAGAGTACTGCATCCAGTTTTGGTTACCACATTATAAAAAAGATGTTGAGACTCTAGAAAAAGTACAGAGAAGAGCAACCAGGATGATTAGGGCACCGGAGGCTAAAACGTACAACAAACGGTTGCAGGAACTGGGCTTGGCTAGTCTAGTAAAGAGAAGGACCAGGGGAGACATGATAGCAGTCTTCCAATATTTGAGAGACTGCCATAGGGAGGAAGGGGTCAAACTATTTTCTAAAGCTCCTGTAGGCCAGACAAGGAATAATGGATGGAAACTGAACAAGGAGAAATTTAACCTGGAAAAAAGGAGAAACTTTCTGACAGTGAGAACAATCAACCAATGGAACAGCTTGCCCTTGGAAGTTGTGGGAGCACCATCAGTTGAGGCTTTCAAGAAGAGATTGGACTGCCATTTGTCAGAAATGGTGTCAGAAATGGCCTTATAAGCCTACCCAGATGATGGGTATTAACAATTGATTTTCAAAGATCCTTGCTGATGTCTTTCCTCTTTGATATTGTGTTAAAACACACCTCAGTGCTAGGGACAATTAAATTCCTAAAATGTTGGCTTTTATAAAAGTAACCACATTTGCTGAGGATCAATTCATCAAAGGCAACTGATTAGGATGATCTGGCTGCTGCTTAGCTTCTTCATACCTATGGAAGTACTAAGGGTGTACTTAGCTTTTCATACATGGTGTCAATGTCAAACCAAACCTGGCAGAGACCATTTTTATGGTTCTTAGTTGCCACACAGTATGGGAGTGGAGAAGGAGGCTGGAATGCACTGCCAGACACAACACCACTCTATCTCGTGGGAATCAAGGACATCTCCACAGGTGTCAGATGAGTACACAGTGGAGTGCTTAGGGAGTCCACCAATGAACCTAATTGGACAATGTGACCTGTGACACTTGGGGGGGCGGGGTCATTTACTATTTTAACTATACTGAAACTGCAGAAAATATTCAGAGTTGGTTTTACATTTAATCATGCCGATATGATGCACCCAATAAAGAAGTTCTTTGAGAGATATCTGAGTCTTGGAGTTCTGATTTGCTTGGGGTCATTAGTTGGAATCTTGACAATCAACTCTCTTAAATTTTGCTCTGGAAAGAAAAGAGCAACCCTCTAGGGTTCTGAGCCTTGGCCAACCACCCGCCAAATTGGGAGAAGCACCATGG